GAGGTGGGAGAACGTGCGTATCGCGCCGTTCGTTCTACCGTCGCCGAAATTGTCCATTTCCGATCCGATACCCCGGGGTGTACCGGGAGGGGGGGGGGCGAGGGAGAGGGGAGAGGGGAAGGAGACGTCGTAAAGGGCCGCGCGTACGACGGGGGGACCGGCGTTATAAGATCGGGCCACGTCTTTATCTAGGTTCTTTACAGTAGGGGGCGCGTGGAGGAGGGGGAGCGGGGTGGTAATATATTTGGAAGGTGCGGAGCGAGATAAGTGGTTAGGTAGGTAGCCGCGGCGCGGGTTGTCGGCCAGATAGTCGACCGGCTCCGGTAATGGAGACTGCAGGGTGCCGCTAATGCAGTAGCGATGTCACGGCGCCCGGTGCATCGGTATATTCCTCCTCTCCCTCTTTCCCCCCCCCCTCCCCGCCCCCGTTTCGCCCTTCCACTCCCCCTTTGGGCGCGGGGCAACCGGACGTATCTTCGCCGGCCTTCGCGATATCGGCCGACCCGCACGTCCTCCTCCCGTTTTGCTTTCTTTCTCTCTTTCTTTCGCCTTCGCGCTTTTTCTCGTCTTTTTCTCGCTTCTCCTCCCCGCTCCCTCCCCACCTCCCCCCCGCCCCTTCGTCGCTCGATCTTCGCGGTCTCTCTTTAGCGGAACTCCATTGAACGACATTGGTCGATATACCGAGGGGGGGGATATCGCGAACGCGCGATAGCGGTCGGACGTGCGGAATGTGTTTATATATACGGAGTAACGCGACGCTGCTAGGAGTCGCGATGAGGCTCATTTTCGTGAGAGGAAATTATTTTCCTCCTTTTCTCTCGATTAAAACTGAACGCGAGAGATTTATTGAACGATATAGGAGGCTACACCGCGTGTACAGCTTTAATAATAGTGTATATACGGCATCGTACGTTTATGTTGTACATCTGTTTCGCTTTTTGATCGCGTGAGGCTGACGCTTCGCAGCGTACCTAATTTTTTTTCACCTCGGAATTCTATTTCTTTTCGCTTTAACTAGCGAAAATCGAACGAATATATTACCATGGGGAAAAAAACGATTTTGCTGTAGTATATAAAAATTCTAGATGTCAAAATAATTATGTGCGATGCTCGAGCATGATGATAACTTTGCAAAAAGCTTTGACGTTCTAGCAATCAGCTTGAGTGTCCAATATACTTATCTATAGATGGTCCAATACACCTAATTAATTTCGGATCTGTATTTGTAGCTGAATTTTTAGATGTCTCTGCAAAACCTTTTTTTCGTGAAAATACAATATTAACGTAACCGAAACGCGACCTTCATGATCCGCGCAGCGCACTCGATATACATATATGCGTTACAGCAACAATATATTGATTTCTCCTCCGTTCTGTGTTCGCAGGATGTTCGGCAACATGAAGCGGTGCGCGCGCTGCCAAGCGGCGATCCTGGCGTCCGAGCTGGTGATGCGCGCGCGCGAGCTCGTCTTCCACGTGCGCTGCTTCTCGTGCGCGGTGTGCGCGGTGCTCTTGACGAAGGGCGACCACTTCGGCATGCGGGACGGCAACGTGCTCTGCCGGCTGCACTACGAGATGGGCGCCGAGCTGCATCCGGCCCAGAGCCCGCCGGTCCCGGTCTACCCGCCCGGGCCGCACTACCCCGGCCAGCCCTTCCCCTCGCCCGAGTTCCTCCACCACCATCATCATCATCACCACGCGCCACCGCACCCACATCACTCGATGCACCCCCAGCACCCGCACAGTCACGTCAGCCCGGTGCCGCTGCAGCCCTCCACGCCCTCCGGCACCGTCGACGCGTCCTCGCCGCCGAAGGTGTCCTACTTCAATGGCGCCGCCGCCGTGGTCCCGCCGCCCAGGCAGAAGGGTAGACCCAGGAAGAGGAAGCCCAAGGATCTCGAGGCTATGACCGCGAGTCTTGGTGAGTGGTGGTCTTTTTCAATTGCGTATACTAGGTATACATATATACTGCAGCAACCGTCGGTCGCAGCGAGCGGTAATCGCAGGAACGCGAAGAGAATCAGTATAACGTTTCTCTGCGATGAAGCGTCTCCAAAAGTCGAAGTCTCGAAGTATCTCTGAATCGCAAAATCTCGTCGCTATACAGAATTCCGGAAATCTAATCGTGATCTCTCATATAGACTGGAAGATTATTCGCGAGTCTATAAGATGGCACAAGAGAGTATAGCCTGCGGATCGTGAGGTCTAGATATACGTCGTCGTTCTCGACCTCCCGATCGCGCCACGCCACGCCGAGGGGAGAACGCATGACCGACCCGGCGTGATTTACTGGCGTGCGTGGGCGCGCGACGCTTGCCACCGAAGCCTGATAAAATTTGTCGGCGCGACATAAATTCCCGAATCGAATCTTTCTCCCTTCCCTCTCTCTTTCTCTCTTTCCTTCTCCGACGAAATGTGTTATACGCAACGCGTGGGCGGCGCGCCGGTTAGACCGGGAGGACTCAATTTCCGATTGTCGAGACCGATCGTGGGAAACGAGTCGGTGAACACCATCAGCTGGCTATCGCGGCCGAAGAACCATCGTGAACGTCGAAACGTCTACTCTGCCACCTCGTCCCCGTGCTCCCTTTTCCCCCCCGCTCGCTCTCTCGCTCGCTGGAGGAGGTCGCCCGATGTCGCCGTGTCGTCGTGAAGAGGGATCGCAGAGGGCCACGCGCAGGTGATCGCCCGAGGTACCGCAGAGGCCAGCTCTCCGATCTATCGTGGATCACGACGGTAATTTTTTACGGCTCTCGCTAAGGGCCGCGACGATCCGTATATATATAAGCTTCCGAGGCGAGATAAATGACCGTGTGTTTAGTAACACCTGAGTTATGGTTGTAGTTCGCAGCGTGCGGTCTCGCGCGCGAACAAATCGCTCTCGTGTATATAGATTGCTTGTATTAATTGTTTAATAAGCGGAGCCACGGTCGACTGGACGGCAGAGCGGTTTCGTGTCGCTGGATTGCAACGCTAAAAGCGCAATTTGTTCTGAAAGGAAAGTCAGGAGAGACAACTTTAGAGATTAAAATTGGGGCAAGATTGGAGAAATAATTTTTCCGAAAATTATCTATAAAGCGACGGTTTATTTTATTTTATTTTAATCCGTCAAATATCCTCCGCGCCCGCCACTAATTCCTCCCGAGATACAGTCCGCAGTTCGGCGCGAATAGAGTTATCGACTATATGGAGGCTCGGTTTCAAGTACGAGTTTCAAGCTCAGCGATCACGCTGAGCCGACGCGACGGAAGCGGGTTCCTAACGCTGTTTGATGCGTATCACAGCTCATTAGCTTCTCGAGTGCAAAGAGGCGGATTAGAGGGGTTACGGGGAAGGGAAACGGCGTGTGCGAAAGGCCGGTGGATACACGGCCAATTACAGGTCTATGCAGCAAATAGTTTACAGGCACGATACCTCATTCACTGCAGCCACGCCGATCTATCGCGCGCGCCTCTGCCTACAAGGATGATATTGTCGACGTTGTGCGATTGAGCTCGAGCAAATTGACCTTCCCGGCGGGATGAAACACGAATTTGTTCGTATCTGATTCAGCGTTCGATTCTTCTTCAAAAAATTAGCGGAATCTCTACGAGATAGTTTTTAGGTAATCAAACGACGCACGTTGACTGCCGTGGTAGTTATACGTAATTGGCGTCTGACTTTTCAGCCCTGATAGTCACCAGTGATTGACGTTATCGAAACTTTTTGTAGCACTTATGAAAAATTACTGCCATTTGACTTAAAATTTCAAATTACAATCAATATTTATATTATAACCAATATTTATATACAACAACGTAAAATAAAAGTGCTCGATTTAATACAATATTCATCAAGATATACCTAATCTTATTTAATCATAAACTTAGAGAAAAACATAGTAGTGGCAACTATAAATAAAGGTGACAACTATATGAGCTTTATAAAATTAATGTACATAATCGAATAAACTATTTTGTAGTTGCAATACCTGGAATAGTTTATTCAATATTTACTAGTTCACTATGTACATAATTATTTAACTATATTTTTACATGTAAATAATTATTTCACTATATTTTATATATGTAAAATTTTTACCTTTATAGTTATCATAGTTTTATAGTTGCCACTACTACCGTCTTTCTCTAAATGTATAAAATGTATTACATATACACAGAAAGAGCAATTTTGCTGAATCCATGTCTGAAAATAATTTTTGTTCAATAATCAAAATAATTCTTTGCGAAAGTCAAAATGATTGTTAGAATATCAAAACGTTTTGTAGCAATGCTTATCAGTTTTAACATTCCAACAAATTATTTTGATAATTCAACAAGAAATTATTTTCAGATCTGTATTTAGCAAAATTTTTAGATCTTTTAACAAAATCATTCTTTCCGTGTACTTTATCATGTATGTTTGCGATGAAAATTCTGTTCTGACCTACACGACAATTAAAACTTATTGAGCCGACAACGTGTTAAACGGTAAATTTTATCTTTCAATCCGATCCATGTTCGACCAATCTTGATGACGGTGCCTTGTCTGGATTTTTGTTGCAGATCTGAACGCGGACTACATAGACATGCCCTTCGGCAGAGGCCCCGGCACCCCCGGCATCCCCGGTTCCAACAGCAGGACGAAGCGGATGAGAACGAGCTTTAAGCACCACCAGTTGAGGACGATGAAGAGCTACTTCGCGATCAATCACAATCCCGACGCGAAGGATCTCAAGCAGCTTTCCCAGAAAACTGGCTTGCCGAAAAGGGTGTTGCAGGTAAATAGAGATCAGAGTACAGGCTCAAGCGATTCGCAATTCCGCATTTTCTCTTGATCGCAAGTTGAAACGCGATGTTGAAACTGGAATTTCCTCATTTCGATTTCGTTAACTCTTAACCGTGTCGCGTTCAGCTCCGAAAGTGGTTTGTGCGCTGATGTAATCGTAATTGTGGCTTTGACCACTCTCTTCTCAGTCGTATCTAATCCCGATACAAAACATATTCTTTATTGATTTAAAATTGTAATCATATTATAATAAATTGATAATTATGCACACGTGTAATTTAATTTTGAAGGAAATCCTTAAATAGAATTTTAAACATTTGAGATATTTAATCTCTCTGTGGAAGAGAATTTTTCAAAAAATATTGGATTTCGTACTCTGAATGCTTGTAAGTTTACCTACTTTAAATTGCATTCGGCACGATTTTGGATCTCCGTAAAATTGGGTAAAATTCACTCAGTGGGTTTACTTACTAGAGCGTATATCTATAAATTGCCACGAAAAAATAACGAGAACACGGCGAGCGGAGCGCAAAAGGAAAATCCAAAGATGGATAGCCGGTGGTTCCCCCGCTCTCCCTCGTCCTCTCTCACATTTCGGTAGGGTGCGCCCTATAAAAATATTCACCCGTATAGCGCGAGCCGCGCGTAGACACGCGCGCTTCTCCCAATTAGTGCGGCGCGCACGGCGCGACTGCGAAGTTAAAAGAACCGCGCGGAACGGAGCGCGATATTTCCGTCGACGAGAGGCTGCGGCCTTTCTCCGTAATTACGAGCCGGGCGTCAATCCGGAGACAGTCAAAACCTACGCGGCGGACGGCTCAGCTCCGTCGTAACGTCGGGGCCCGTGCCGCGCCGCGCCGCCGGCTCGCTCTCGTTAACCCACTACCGTTAAATTATTAGGTTGTTACGAAAGTTTCGCGCGCTCGCGTTCCTTTGTGAAGCGTGCCATGGAGGCGCGGATGAAAAGGGAGAATGATCGGGCGCGGGAGATACTGACGATTTAAAGGTAAATGAGGCGAGGCGAAACGCGCGTGGCGTGGAAACGGATCGGCACGGCGCCTCGGTTCAGGCGAGGCCCTCCTCTGTTCTCGATTTGGCTTTTTATAAATATAGATTTAATTTCGACATGTGTGAAATTTCAGTTGAAACGAACGCAACTAGGCTGTAAAGGTTTTAATGACCTAAAATTGCGCAATCAAGAATTCCGAGACGTCAAAGTCTAAATATTCTTTGAAGTTCCAAAGTTCTTTAAGCTCTCGGGTCTCATAATGAGTTACGACAACGCAAGATTTTAGAGATTTCAAATTCGCAATTTTGAGCCAATGAAAATCAAATATTTAGACAGATTCTCTTCAAAAAGAGAAGAGACTCTAATATTAAATCATACGTTATTCAAATACAAACAATGATTCTAATACCTGTCAAATTTTAATTACACATGTATGCAATAAAATCCAAAAGTTTTGCTAAGGATATAAAAAGAAAGGTAATAAAATGAAACAACTGTTTTTATTTTATATAATCATCCTTAATTTTAAAACAAATTTAAAATGATTTTAAAATTAATTTAAAATAAAATACTGTTAAAAAATGTTTCGAATTTTTGCTTATGAATGTATTAACATTCATAACAATATTGTGGAGATTACTTCCTTATCAGTGATAAATTCTTTTTCTATGCAAATAGAACTTTATATTGAAAAAATAAAAGTAAAAATTTCGTGATTATTTTTTGAGGTTTAAGATTAAAACTCAATTTGAAAAAAAAAAGATCAGTGGTAAAGAGGTAAATTTCTCAATGTTAAACAATTACAAGAGCATAAATTTAGATTATTTCTTAATAATATAGAAAAATTGATTTATTATTCTAAAAAATAATTTAAATAAAATATTGAAATAAGAGAAGTAGAATAAAGGGTAGATAATTTTATTGAAGAACAAAAAAATGGTTTTTTTATTTTATCATCCCTTTTATATCCTCGAGCCAAAAAAAAAACCTTACTATGTCATTCTTAATACCTACATATCTATAACGAAACTATTACTTCTTTAAAACGATACGCGATTTTAAAGAGAATCTGAAAAAGATGACGCCGCTCAAAAATTATTGCCATGTTTACCTCTGATCTTTCGCATAACAATCATTCCGGTTGTTACATTGCCTCGCTTCTGCGCCCATTCGCCGAGCCGAAGAAGGAGAGGGTTGGAGGTGGCCGCTATTGTATTCGTAGGGTTCTTGGTCGCCATCTTGCTTGATATTGATCGCGAAACGCACGAATATATACTTGTCCGCCGCGCGCGCGCGTAAACACACACACACACATACACACACACACATGCGCGCGCGCGCATTCACGCATCGAGGGGGGACACGCACGAGTAGTCGGTTCGCGAGTTCTTTCGTCGGAAGTCGCGCGGGGGAGGAGACTGTCTTGAAAATGGCGACGTCGGATCGCATCGTCTTTCGTCTATCGTGAATATAATAGAGGAAGCCTATAGCTCGCGCGAAGGCGTGCACGCGCGTCCGTGTGCGTGCGGGTTGCACGTGAATGGGAGGAGGACTCTTATCTAACGCTGCGCGCTCGCGAATTCGCATAAGGCATTCATGAATTCTTTTCAGCATGGCGTTAAAACAAAGCATCGTACACGTACGAACGCAACATCGCTATATTTTGTTGCTCTTGAAAACGTTACGTTATACAAGCCTGTAAATTAATCCCAGCGAGACACAGATTGTAACTGCAATATCGCAGTGAATTATAACATTCGAGAATGTATTACCAGAAATGTTGATGTAATATAGCAGTTGTAATGTCTGTGTTTGATGGGAATCGTTCGAAATTGATCGTCTTTCCTCCCCTCTTCCGCCCTTCTCTCTTCTCGCAGCTGCACCTATATTCGATTTCGCGAGCTCGGTGTATACTGTATACCTATATGCGAATCTTCAGCGATGACTCAAGCTGTCGTATAAACGGCCGAAACCCTCTGCTCGTCTTGTTCCCAGGTCTGGTTCCAGAACGCGCGGGCAAAATGGCGGCGTATGGTGCTGAAGCAGGAGGGCAAGTCCGACAAGTGCGACGGCGGGGTGGACGGCGGTAATCTCGGCGACCTTGAGCTCTACGGGAACAGCACCGGAAGTGGCGGGCCGCCGATGAGTCCGCCCTTCATGCTCGGCGGTCCCCACAGTCCCGCGTCCCTGGCGTCCCTGGACTGCGCGTGATCCCTGATGATGACGTCCGAATCCGCGCTTTCCGGCTAGCATCGCGCATCCTACTGTGCAACATCGGGACAATCGGTACTTCCGGACGTGCAGTCCTTCCGGACGGTTACTCACGTGAGTGATGTCGCTCGCGAGGACGAATGAATTGTGAATAGAGTCGGTGAGCGTGTAAAAAGAAGAGATCAGGAGTGAAAGAAACGTTTCCGCGCGAAACGGAAATTCGCGGATGGGCCGAGCGAGACTCGAAGAGTGCATTTTTTTTCTGAGAGAGCGCCGACTTCCGGCAGTCGAGTTCCTTTTGACCGACGAAACGGACGAAAAGCTTAAGCCTCTCCGTTATCGTTCCGCGAGCCGAAAATTCACTTCTCGAGGAGACACTCGCTTCGGATCGGGACGTATGTAAAATTTATTGACGCGCTGAATCCGCGTGTAAATCCGTTTAATTGATAAAAAAAAATCGTTGTATTTATTGTAGCTCGAATTGTACGGCGTTCTGCCGCGGAACATTAAAGTCGTTCGTTGAGGGCAATGTAATTAGTGAAGGAGATTTATTTATTCGCCTAAGTCTAATTAAGAATCGCGAACATTACCAGTGCTGTAAAAAATTCTGCGTTTCGCGGGTTCTCGAAGAGTTGTCGGCTGCCGTCATTAAAATCCTCGATCCTTCACGTACGTTCGAGGAACGTCGATTACTGCGATTGATCGACGAAATGATTTTTTAGTTATGGGTTATTAATTATTTTATTTAACTTTTTAACTTATTGACTTATTTAACTTTTAAATTTCTTTTATATTTCACTTCTTTGCGTAACGTTTTTAAATGTTTTAACAAAATTTGCCGTTGCACGGAAAGAACGGTTTTGCTGAAGTGTCTATTGTACAAAGTTCAGCTGGGTACAGATCTGAAAATAATTTTGTTTGACCGTCAAAATAATTATGTAAAACGCTCAACCATGATAACGTCAAAAAAATTTCACATCATAGCAATTAATTTTAATAACGAAATTATTTTAGCAGTTCAACAAATTTATTTTCAAATCTGCATCTAATTAAAATTTTTGATAGGGCAAAACCATTCTCTCCGCGTGTCGATCGGTCGACAAATAATCAAGATTTCCGTTTCTCTGATTATGTATGATTTCTTGTAATTATATTTTTCTTTGTGTCTCATTTTTCTCGTTTTCTCCAGAGGCAGATATTTATAAACGCACGCAAACGCACCGTTTTTAGATTGATCGACACTCCGTCCGACGCTCCGGGCGAAACGCTGGATTTTTGACGAGATGATAATATTAATTATTTATAAAAGAAAAAAAAACGAGCTGGCGAACGCGCGTTATTGTAATTGTATGTACATTATTGCTCAAGATCTGACCGCGAGACAAATCCGTGAGAGAATTAAGCAACCCCCTCTGCACCCGGTTTACGACCTGGTTATTACCTGTAAATAAAAAGGGACGTTCCTCGCGCGTTTCTCTTAAGGCACCGTTATAGGTTGTAGGGCCCTAATTAATTGCATTCGGTAGCGGTCGTGTGCTTCTCTCTAGGCGAGAGGTATAAAAGTAATAGTAAATGAGGATTACGCAGGACACTACTGTTATTATTGCTCCTACTATTAGTCCTCCTTGTAACGATGCGGAAGGATTGTCCAACTTTTGCAAGATCATTTTTTCATTGAATATATTTTGACAATATACGCCGCGTGTCTTGTATGTGTTTGCATTCCCCCCTCCCCCACGTCTCTTCCTCACCGTTCTTCCTAATATCTCAAGTTCTCTTCGAGGTTTCATCATCAATGCTGCCAAAGTTTTCCTCGGTATGAATTAAAATTGAAAAATGGTCACCGACTGAATGATGTAATAAATGGCAGTTTGAGAATATTAACGATGATTGGTTGAAAGAGCATTTAAGCTTCCGCGCGCGCAGACTTTTTCGCGCAGAAAACCTGTATCTCGATCGTGCAATTTAATCGTGCGCTGGGTTTTTCTTTTAGACGTAAACTGGCACGAGAATTGCATATGTTATTCTTCTCTATTCGCGTATATATACATACATATACGAGATTTCACGGAATCGGCTCTCGACAACAGAATCCGAGACTTTCCACGAAGGGGACGCGATGGAAAGTCGCATGGTACGGCGTTGCAAACCGCGGACGGTGAACCAGAATTTCACCTAACAAAAAAAAAACCGGCGCGGCGCATTGTCCGTCCTGTCCTACCAGTTGGTCAAACCCGCCGGTAGGCATGGATTCGCTGACCGGCAATAATGGCGGAATATTCCAGCACGCTCCATTTGTACGCGTGCAAAGGGAGAAAAAAAGAGGAGTGTACGTTATAAGTCGTTCCAACATATAAGTATTCCATAATGTCGCATTTTCAAATCGCTCGACGGGAAGGACCCTGTCGCGAGTCTCTGTGATACAACGTGTTTCTCAATGCGCGCGTTCTATTCACAGTTTTTAGAATGTAAATCTCTCTTCGTTTGCCTGGAATTTCACAGAGTGCGCCGATGGAGCAGATACAGACATAGTATATAATATAAAACCGCGTCGAACCCGCGATAACTTCACGGGCACGAGCGTTATTCATATATGTATTTCCCGTCTTATTTACGGGCTTTGTCCATCCCGGACTGGCGACGCGCCGGCATTCACCGGCGTTTCTTCTGGACGCCGCGCGCGGCGTCGACGATTTAACGGCCCGATTATGCGAGGCTATGAAAATGCGATGCGTCCCGCGGCTATTAAAGCTGAAATTATATCCCGCATGGCGGACCGAATTACGCAAGACTGGATACCAGCTCCGCGTAAATTACGCGCGTATACACGGGCGCGCAGAAGAAGCGGAGGAATTCTGCTGCGCGGCCGCGCGACGGCATCTTCCTTTTTTTTTTTCCTCTCCCGACGAAGGCTGATCGCAACCAGCGTCCGTTATGGGGACATCATAAACATCCCACTCGCCGGTCTATTATGTCGTTATCGATTTATATCTCTCTTCTTTTTCCCGAAGAAACGAAAGGAGTCGTGAAAAACGAGTTGACAGATTTAGCATGAAAAAAGCGGGAATATAAATCCGAGACGCGGAGCTCTGATGGTAACAATAATGAAAAAAAATTACAATTAATATATATATATATATATATATATATATATATGCTCCTTCGACGATTTTTATAGCGACAAATGACAGGAGTAATGGATAAATTTAATATCAATTACGACATAATGGCTATGATTTATGGTGCACTAAACCTGGTAATCGAGAGAGAGAGAGAGAGAAACAACGAGAGAGGTTCTCTTGATCGGGCGCGTGATTTATTTATTTGCCTCACGCTGAGATTTTGCTTGTTCGCTCGGGCCACGATTTCCTGTCTATACTCCTGGCCGAGAGCTAGTAAGAAAAAGGTCTATATAAATGTTGTTTCACGAACGTCGCCCCGCGCTGTTCTGATTTCTAAGAGAACCTCGCGTTCACACAGGATTGCGCGCGACGCGAGCGAGCGAGCGAGCGAGTGGCGCGGTGGCGAACGGCTTTCCTTCGGCCACATGCAATATGCATCGCGCCGCATTCAGGACGCATAGCGAGCGCGCCGATGCGATTTCAGCGCGCGATTATTCGTTGAATTTCTATGCCAAAAAAGGACGACGGCAGATAAAAGGAACGGCACCACACACACACACACACACACACACACACACACACACACACACACACACACACACACACACACTGTGGCGTCATCCGCGCACGACGACGCGAACGGGGAGAGACGGGACACCGTCCTGGCAACCGATCTAGGTTCCATTACTTTTGAAAGATAAAATTGCCCATCTATTTAGTTACATTTTCAAAAATAAACATTTCCTCTGTCCATTCTTTCTTATCATTATTATATTCGTCACATTCGGCTTAATTTCCTTTCGTTCAACTTTAATTTCTTTCGTGGTTAATTAAAGGAAACATCTGCGATCTGATTCTGTGCCGAGGAAAGGTCTGTACCCTATATATACTACGCTAATTCCTGGTGTGTTCCGCATGTTGTCTTATTGTCGTTGTCTTTCGATGAAACTGCAGTCTTGAGAAACGGACTTTTCACGACGTCTCCTCCGGCAACCAGCTCTTTATCCTGCGAAGGATCCACGAGAACGGCGCGATCGGCGCGACGAAGGACCGGCCGCCCGTTACATTCGACAAAGTAAATGAGACGTCGATGTTCGACACCGTCGCACTGTCATCGACGATTTTCTGTCCGCGTAGTCCGGCATCGATCATCCGTGTTATCCGGTATCTCGATCCTGGAACCGGTCAGAGGACAGAGGACAGTAAACGAGTCCCCCCCCTCCCCCCCTGCCCCGGCATCGGCCATCGGGGATCTAGGAATCCATCGGTCGCCTCCGTCACGCCTCATCGGCTTTCAGAATGAACGATCTTCGTATGTGACTGGAACACGCGCGAGTTTGTTCCTCCATTGATTTCGATGGGAGATCGAAAATAGCTCACGATTCACGGCGCCCTTCCCGATCTCGTATATATACTCGCGCGCCCGTGAAACTGATATTCGGATGAATATCAGATGGATGTTGAGAGCTTCTCGGAATCGATACGTATCGATAGAGTTCCGTGGGAAATCTATAAAGACGATCTTAAAGAACACTTAAAACATAGTGTTATTATACACTGTAAAAAAAACAACTGTAAAACTATCAACTATGACAACTGTATTTGACATGTAAAAATAATATACATAGTTGAATATTGCAGTGTTAATAAATAACAAATATTGGGACATCATAAACTACTTATGTCGGTCTATTATGCCGTCTCTATTTTCTTTTCTGAAGAATCGAAAAATCATGACGTAAAAACCGAGTTGACAGATTCAGCATGAAAAACATTTTTAGTTATCGCGCAAGGTCTTATACTTAATAATTTGTTTGGGAATTTTGTATACATTTCGCCTTTATACCTTTGAATTATGCGCCAATTATTGTTCGATCTTGAAAACACTGTAAATGTATTTATTATTCAGTTTTTAAATTTTCTATCATTACTTTTGTATAGCTTACGGATTCGTAAAACTTGAAAATATGCAAACGGGATATTTCGATAACTATAAGTTTATTCATAGGAGAGATTTCAGGAAAGATTTAAATGACGAGAGGATAGTTTTGTAAATGTATAGGACATTTGTTGACTTCGAAGAAAAAAATATCGGATATGTGAAAAACAATCAAATCTATATAAATCGACGAATGGTGCATTTATGGCTGGTATAAAGTATCTAAACCGTCGATGGAATTCTCGTTTAGCTAGACAGTTTTATTAACGTCGATTATCTCCTATAAGAGTTTTTCCGTCTCACTGGTATTTATGTCGATAGTTTCGTTAAAGCTTTTACCAATAAACAATTGCACACGTCACGCAAAATGTTCAACAATTTGATTGAAATAGAAATAAAAATCTGACGTTTCCCAAATTTGAAAAGGACATAAATTAGAAAAGTTTATATTCTCGGCTCGCAAGAAGACGGGAAATAGCGAGCAGGTGCCACATATACATGAGTTCGGCACATCAAAGAATCCTATAGTCGCTCAGACTGACGGCGATAAAAAGAAATAAAATAAAAAAAAACTGGCGCAAACAATCGTGAATTAATTAAGACTTTATTCCGATTGCCGATGCCGGGCGGTGCGTCGGCGAAATGTGCGTTTGGTTAATTAATGGCCGCGAAATGACGCGGTGGGAGTTATGCAAGCAATATAGATAACGGCGAGCTGGGCGATA